GAACCTCCAACTACAGCTGAAATTCTAACACATGTATTAGATTGGTAAATGGACTCAAAAACTTACTATTTATAGCTGATTATTGTTAGTTTTTACAAGGAGAAATGCCAAACAGCTTTCAAATATGATTTCTATGTGTTTTTTATAATGTAAACTGAACATATTTGGGTTTTTGAACCGTTAAATAGATTGGAATATATGAATATATGAAATTGTCAAGACAATTTGTCACAGTTTTCTGACATTTTCTATTTATAATCCTGAATGTTATTGTACTTCGTATAGCAGCATGTGTACAGGGCCTGTTTGCAGCTTTCGTGAGAACAACTTATCCAAACAACTTTACACTCGACACCACACGTCCCTGGTTCCTAAGACATACGCCCACCAAGTTTGAAATGTATCACATTACAGATTATTTTTTTACTAAAATACATTTCCCATTTATCTCCAGTTTCTCTTTTCATCAGATAGTAAATTAATCAATATTGAAAAAATGTACTTGTTAATAATACATGTTTGACTGCACAACTGCTGTATCACCTAAAATATGTGGTAAACACATTAAACCTTTTTATTATGCAGAATGGTGCAATCAGAATAATGAATATCCATGCAGCAGAAATTAATTTATAAAACAAAATTATAAAAGGCTTTTGAATGTAAAGGTTCCTGTTGTAGTTGGTTCATGAATGTGACCTTTTTCCTGATGAACAGTTCATCAACCAGCTGCCCACAGGGGGTGAGAGCAGCTCTTCATATTGAAAAGTGTCTTATCTCGCAAAGCTATCTTTCTACCATGCATGTTTCTGACAAGCAAGAATACGCTCCACGTGATTGGATACAGTTGCTTCGTTTGCATCTAGGACTTTGAAATGCCACAGCCAAAAGAAATCGTTAGCCTCATCCTGTAAGGATTTGAGAATGTCCTGCACGAGATGTGAAAATGAGATAGCGAGAGATAAAGCTGAATAGCCAAAGTGTTTCAAATGCCTCATTTGCACTACATGAGTCAGACCATGTTTGGTCTCAGTGGGAATGTCCGGCTTGACCTTAGAGAAAGAATTCATCTAAGCATTCACAGTTGATCACAGTTGAGCTCTTTCACATATAGCACAATGGACTTGTTTTAATTATCCAAGCCACCAACTGGGAGGTTTTATAAAAAAGTAAATGTACACGTCCTGGGGGTCTAAAAATCTGTGCTGAGGGAGGGAAGAAAAAAGAACTACGCTATCCAGGCAGGAATAGAAAACCCATAGCTACTGAATTGTTCTTGGAAAATGTTCTAAAAAAATAATTCGGACACAATGGGGTGTAATATCCCTGCATTTGAGTCTTGCAATGTTATGTTTTGGGGTATTGCATTCATGGTCAGAGGCTCAGATTGCACAAAAAGGCTTGCTTTTATTTTTTTATGTTGAGGGGACTGTAACAAAATGTAGATTCAACTTTTCCTTTACATTAAAAGCATTGTGTTTGATTTGATGTACACTGTATTGCTATGTGTTCTCTACAGAAAAGGATACTATGGCAGTCAATCTAAAATAAGATTTAAAAAAGCACAATCCCTCTCTATAGGCCTTTTATGATACATCACGTATCACCAGATTCTTGCTAATTCACAGCAGCCATAGAGTCCTTGTCTGTTCAAATTTGCACACTTTGTGTTGGCAGAAAAAGGCTAGGAAAATGCTTGAGCTAAGCAGTCGCTTTCATGTTCTAAAGTACTTCAGTGGGTAAACACATTTCTGCTTATCAGATTTTGATTGTTTCTTTTTGGTCTTTTGATGTTGGTAATGATGCAGTACAGTGTATAACATTTTTTCTTAATTCTGACCTGATTATTGATCAGAAAATATATAACAGTTCATCCTGAGGGTGTAAAACATTGTATGGATTACAATTGTAGTTGACAATTTATAACCATCCATAATGTTTTTTCTGTTTGCAGAAATTCTTCCTTTTTGCTCCTACACTCTCAACAAAAAAGCACCTGATTGTGTCACAGGAACCAAAAGAGAGAAACTGTTCACAAAAACACTTCAGGTATCACAACTAGCAGATTTCTCTTGAGTCCTCCGTCACAAACATGGTGTTGGTGTTACTGTAGACCCTGTTGTTGTATTTGTGATGCTAAAGCCTCTGTTTGGATGATTCACAGCTCAATTCTTCATGTTCCATCCCACTGGCTCAGGACGCACTGCAAGATTTATATGACGCCATTGAGGTCTTAAACATTTTTCCCTGAAGATGAATGTGATGTTATTGGGCAGCCCACAGTGTTTCTGTTCAGTACTGTTGACAATTTGTATCATTTTGATTTTCACAGAGGAAATGATTTCAGCAGAAGTGAACCGCAGAAATCTCAAACATTGATCAAAGCCAGTGGGTCACTCAGGAGCCATGTTCGTGTTCTCAAACTGTATTCCTCGCTCTTGTTTATTTGTATGCAGGGTGAGCTAAAGTGCAATAACCTTACTTCAGGTCGGCTAATTACACATGAAGCAGTCGTACATCACTGTGGTTCTGGAGTGGCCCTCCAAGGTAGCAATGGTATGCGTTTTGGTAACCAATCTGGACAGAGCTAAGGCTGGAGATTGTTTCCACATGGGGCCTGTTTTCAGTTTGCTTGGGTCTAAAAACCAGCTTTAATTTCATAGTTTACCCACTTGGAGCATGCAATGTGAAATAGATCGACAACTTTCACACAAGCAGTCATAACAACACGGTTCAACTTTCACCCGGGTGGATAAATCAACAGCAGGTTTCTGGAAATGTTAAAGACGGACAGAGTAAAGTATGATAGGATAAAACTACGTGCCTAAATTATTTCTATCACGCGTCAAAATCATTTAGAATATGTTCGGTAAAAAACTGAATACTTTTTTAAAAACATTGTTAAAACAGCAAGAGTACAAAAGGTATTAAAGAAAGCATGGAAACAAGGACATTTAATTTGATTTGAATAGCATTTAATAGATGGGGTTGCAAACATTGTGATAAAAGTTATTTATAAGTTTATATAGCTGAAACAATTAATCAACAAAGTGATGAGTCAGAAAATGAATTATGCTTAATTAACTCAAGCAAGAATCAAAAACTAACTGCTCTCTATTCCTAGTTTCTCTTACGTGAAGATTTGCTTTTTTTCACAGATTTAACAGATTTTGGGCTGTTTTCTGGAAAATACAAGACGCAACATCCAGTGCTTCAGGAGATTGTTGGAGGTATGTTTGACCAATCCCTGCAATTGTATAGACTCACCAATCTATAGAAAAGTTGATACAATGGTCTATATTTAGTATTCATTTTGGTTGCAACCCTATAATACTTTCCCATGAAGTCAGCTGTAAGGAGGTCACATTCTGCCAGATATCATCTTTGAGATATTCCCCATTCTACAGGGCCTGACGGAAAATCATATTTTATTCAACTGTATAGATTTTTGGAGGGAAACTGCAAGAGCATCTAATGCTGATGGGTTTAAAACACATTAGAAAAAAGCATTGTGTGGTCCAGCCTTGAAGAATAATACAAGATTAAAAGTATGGTAATGCGAACATATGGCTTCTTTAATGTCTTTGAATAGAGTCAAGTATTGTCCCTCCACCATCTGCATAATACAGTATGGCCATGACAGTAATATGCCTCTTTTAGGTCATTGTAGTCTTTGAAATGTATATGAAGCGTTTCCTACTTGTTTTGACAGAATAAAGGACTCTTTCTCTGCATAGTAATTAATGCTTCCAAGCTTCCCTTCTCCTTTCCTCAAACACTTTCCTCACTTCCTGCTCCATCCTTCAAATGAGCCTCTATGTAGACCACTTCTCTCGGGGGAGACCCCTTTGACCTCTGCCCTTTCAGTACTTTTAACCGGCCGTGCTGCGTGATGGAGAGGCCAAAATCTTGTCCCACCCGAGCTGCCACACCAAAGTCAACGTCCCGAAGTTACAGAGCTCCTGCAGCGATCCTGGCACGGCTTCTGAGGGAAAGCGCAGACAGTGGGGGAGCTTCCACTGGAGGATCTGTCCAGAGGTCCAGCCTCCCGCCACGCAGGGTCCCAGGTGCGAATCCTTTCATGGACATGATGCGTTATTGTTTTCCGCTTTATCTTTTGTGCATCCTGGATGAATTAGCAGCAGATGCAAGTACAGCTACAACTGGGGATTGGAGTGGAGTTAACTGAAGAGGTGAAAGGAGAAATGTCAGCCATAGATGACTGATTGTTATTTGAAGCGGATGTAGATGCAGGTTTCTTGCTCTTCAGACTTTGTATCTTAAAGGGGCCCTACAGTAGTATGCTCATTTTCAGGTTTGTATTTGGTGCCTCGCCCTTATTTTCTCATACTGCCTGTGCTGAAGCACCTCTTTTCACCCTCTGTCTGAAACCAGAGCCCAGTCTGCTCTGATTGGTTAGCTGGCCGGCTCTGTTGCGATTAGTGTGAGTGTTGCGTAGTGATGTCATTATGGTACGAGTAAACAAAGGAGTCGAATTGAGGCGTTTCAGGCCATAGGAGAGAAACTCCCAGATTTTAGCCTTTGCAGACCATTTACGTGCACAAAAACATAACACTACAGGAAATGAATCCGCTTCAGAAAACATAATGGGGTCAGCTACAGTAAATGTAATGTAGAGGAATATTCTTAACATTGCAAATATACTTTTATTGAGAGGACCAGTACTTAATGTCAGTATGAATAATGATTGACTGGCAGGCATCAGTAGTAGAATACCTAATTGAACCCACTGATTAATTAATCATATGAAATATGAGATTTAGATCTACATGTGGCATGTTAAATATGCCTCAAGCTCAAGGCAGCCTGGAGAGTAAAAGCATAAAGAAGCAATGATTAGTCTAAACCCGAACCCCTTGAGGAAGACAATTTGATTAAGGCTTTGTATTTAATATGCAAAGACTGAACAAATATTTTACCAGTAGTCTTCTGTAGCAAAGGCAGGGGGTGTGTTTACCAGATAAATGACTCAACAGACATCCAATTTCAATGGTTTATGCCAGAGTAGTAAAAATGACAACTGCTATGCTCCTGTTATAATATTTGAAATCATATATTTGTCACTTACACATTCTCCTGTGCCACTGCACTTAATGCCAACTGAGAAAATGAGGATTAGTCATTCAATATTTCCAATCTTTGTCGAGTTACTGAAAATATTGGGATTTGTGATTACAGTCATTGTTGTAATATTGATTCATGTGTGGGCGGCGGCAATTTCACTCATGTGGAACTGCGGTTTGAAATACAGGCCTAACAGTTACTGACAAAGCAATTTCCAAATCAAGGTCTCCACAATACATTAAGTAAGGTTAAACTTAACCTCATAGATCAATGGATGAAAACCAAACTAAACTTCACCGGCTGGATGCCTCCCCGATGACAAGACTGTAATTACAACGGAATATAAATAAAAGGCCTCTCCAATATAGTAATGCATAGTCACGTAAGAAACTTCTTAAGTGGAGGAGAACACCTGAGAACATATTGACCTTCGCTTAATCACCTCGCCTTGTTTAAGAGCTGTCAGGGACAAGAAAGGATGACAGTTTTCTGAGTTTGCTTTAGTGGACCTGAAGGTCAGACACAAGTATAAGAACTGTAATACTTCAAAACCTGCTCTTAGTGAAACCTACTGACACTATTTAAAAACCTCTGCAGCTTCCATCAGCTCTCGGGAGCTTTTGAGTCTTTGAGCCTATTGTTTTGTTTATTGTTTTGGCACAACAACTTTACTGTTTTTGATTGATTCTCAACATGGTCACTGTTGTTTGTAACAGAAAAGCAGTTTTAAAAAAGGGCCCTTTCTGTGGTTAAAGCTTTCTACCTTTGATTGCTAGGTTTAGTCAGAAATTGACTAAATGTCTTTTCATTAATGTAGTTTTAACAACGGGCTTACATGCAAATTAGATTTACAAAGACCTACCAGTCAATAAACTGTTCAACCCATAACCCAGATAGCTGAAAGCCATAGTTTCACCCCTCTAGTGTGTTGCAGTAGAGTGAAGAACAACAATAAACCTATCCCTGCCCATATACTGATTTACATTTTCCTGGGACCGACCTCTCAAAATGGAGAAATACTGAGTGCAATGTGGTGATAATAACACATGTTCCCACACAAATCGGACAGTCGTGGTGAAACGCAGATTGTGGTTTGAACAGTTTTTTTTTTTTATTCCTCAGGGCTTCATGGTGGCCGGAAAGGGAGCGGCTGAGAACAATATTGGCAAGTCATTCATCAGACATCGGTCATCTCATCTTCCATCTCATCCCCCTCCATTTCGCCTTCTGCCTCGCCTTCTTCTTCTTCCTCCTCTTCCTCCTCTGATGTCACGTCCAGCTCGCCCATCTGGGAGACGCACTTTGGACACGAGCAGACAAACAGGTAGTTCTCCCTGGGAAGAGAACGCAGCACAGGTCACACTGTTGCACCTCTAACAATAGATGAAAGGAATCACACTCATGTTCGGAAAATCTGCTTCTGCACACCAGAGCATATGTTTTTTACTTTTAATACAGTCTCTGGAGCAAGAGAGCATATGTTTATTACTTTTAATTAGTGGGTTTGATGTGCGGTACAGGGATTTTTTTCAAACCATCAAGTGAGCAAGCAACTGCTCTTTGTCAATGCTGAGAATTAACACAGGATGCTGACAAACACTCAAGAGACTAGAAGAACAAACTAGCCCAGAGTGTTGAGCTATAATTCAAAGATGGATTGATATCATGTTGATTGATGAGTGCATGCACAGGACCTGCCATCATACCCCAAGCATGTCTACTTCAAAACTCCCTATTATTGCCTGGAAGAGATTTTTTGTATTGATTAAGATTGTATGACCTCGTTCGAGTGGATCATCCAAGGGATTAAATACGCTTACTGTACCTCAGAGTTTTATGTCTGCTGTGGCGGCTTCGGTCCCGCTGACAGCAGTCCAAATAACTGATGCAGATCTCCTAAGGATTGAAGAAAAATAAAAGAAGATCAGCAGACGTTTTTGAGATTACAGTTCAGTCCCATATACAAGCTACTGGTATATTTCAAATGGCAGAAGAAAAACACTTTTTTCCGCCTCATGCAGGAAGTGGCTGCAGCCTTCCATCGTACACAATGCGCTCCTGTCTTAGGGACTGTTCAAAAGGAGAGCTTTGTTTTGAAAATAGCACGACTGCTTTGACATCGCAGATGCAAGGCTTCTCAATCTTTGTGACAGCTTGACAAACCAACTGCAATCCTCAAAGTCTCAGCCTTCTAATACCGCCTGACAAGGGAGCAAACAAAAGCTAGAGAGGGGATGTTCTGTCTTGTATATTTCCGGGCCAGAATTTATCACTGCGAACCCAGGCGTGTCAGCTGACCTCTCCTGGGTTGATGTCACTAAGGGCGCTGAGCTGAAGCAGGAAATTGTTGTCGGGAAAGGCGGCCTCTGCGTTGGGTATGCAGCTGTGGTTACCTGCAGGGTCAAGGAGGCATAAAGTCGTTAAGTAGGTCTCTTGACAAGAGGAACAGCGTCTTTGAACTGAAGCAACAGCCACTAAATAACAGTTATATCATCTGCACTTACATGAGCTTTGGAGCAGAAAGAGTCCAGAGCCCTCACAGTTTAGAAAGTCTCCCGTTTCTACAGAGACGAAGAGACAAATGACGCACATTTGTTGAACTCTGAGTCTGAACAAATGTTACATAATCACAGCAATGGCATTGGGACAACACAGACAATAATAAACACTCAATTACAAACTGTAAAATATACTGCAAGACTGAGATAAAACTGTGACCTTTCTCAATGTCCTTGTACATCTGGTCGATAAAAGAGTCCAATTGCTCCTTCTGCTGGACAGGAAGCTGAATTGCATCACAGGCATGAACCCACTGACTCAAGGAGCTGAATGGAGAAAAACAGAGCACAAAGAAAAGTAATTACTATTGAGCCTAGAATGAAAGAAATTGAAGGACATAAGTGATGGGTGTTTACCTCGTGCCAATTCCTTGTCCATTGGTTCCCACAAGAGCGAACAGAGAGCGGAAACCCTCGGGGGTAAACCACTGCAACACAATCATATCTTTACTGATCAATACTGAAGGTCCAATAATTTCCTTTGACCCCTTTCTTACTAAAGGGTAGAGGTCGGGGTCAGTTGTAGGAGTTTGAAAGATTTAACTTCACTTTCCAGATGGATCAGCACATTAACATGAAGTCAATAACATGGCAAAATGACAAGGAAAGTGTCAGATGACATTTATATAATACAAAATGGATTTAATAAGTAGAGCAACATTAAATGGGACTAAGCAAACCAAATCAAAACAACTGTCAGCTCAGAACCTCTTTAATTAGCTTCCCTGGGCAACAAGCTCAAGATGTAATGTGCTGCTGCATTATGACACAGAAATAATATACAGAACTTTTAATATTTGATTACTTATTGACAGTTTCCAATATCAACTTCTGCAATATTCTCAATTGTACACATTTTATTTGATTTCTTAGTTTTCTATGACATTTAACATACAAACATATGTTAGCTTTTGTATATAAATTATCTAAATAATTGTATTTTGGTATAAAACCTGCAGTTGTCACATTTGAACTGTGCTTTCTTACCCGACTCAGATAGTCATCGTATAGTGCTCCTTTAAAAAAGCTGTGTAACAAGGCCAGCTGCCCCTATAGAAACAATGTTAGATAAAAAACAAATGTTACGCAACAGAATACATACATCAAAGATGGCCACAGTGGGAGTTCAACTTCTCTCTAGAGGGGCAACATTGTCACGCTATGCTTATTGAGCCGTAAACAACTGGGATTAGCATAAAGCATGATATTCTTTTAACTGCCAGACTTCATACATTTTGCACGTCAACAATTTCATATATTTCAAGCAGAAATCACTTCATGGTCACTTACTCTGAATTTCTCTCCTAGGAGCTTATGGGCGATCTCCTCTTCCTCATTACCTGTCCGGCTGCAGAAGTGTGAAAACAGCTTCTGCCACTGCGCTTTGTCCTTGGCCTGGACAACAAACAAGTAAACATTTAGCAAAAACATTGCATCACTCAGTTATTCAAGTACCGTAGTTAATTGTGAGTAGTTGTTGAGCATTACAGTATATCTTGCTTACACATGTGTAATATTACAATAACAAATCAGAACTTATAAAGTTGTTATGCTGAACAGTCAGAAAATAGTTGTCTGTATACACTCTGGGCAGCATTAGCATTAATTTACAGTCCGCTTTATGACAATATTATGAATACAAGTCCATGTTCACTCTCCTTTTGGCTCCGTTTTGGTCTCCCCCATCTACTGAGATACATATCTGTCTCTTTAGAAACTCAATGCTGTGTTGTGTTGTGCTGAGAAGTTACAATACAGCAGTATTTTCTGTATCTGTATTTGTCAGGGCAACAAAATATTATGGCTGGTAATAATCAAAATGACACAGGGATGTTATGTCCTTTTACAGCAAGGTATTCTGATTCTAATACGAGGAATATACCCTTCCTGATTAAATTGAACACTCAATGATTCATACCCAAGGGTTTAAAAGACGTTATCAGAGACTCACCTGTTTGACTATTGCTACCATTCTGGCTATTAGCATGATGCTGGAGGTCTCAGGGGGATAATGCATACTCCTGAACAGAAAACACATCTCCTTTTAGGTGAAATACATTATTAACTTGAGAGAGTTTAGAATGAAACCGAACTCTGACCTCCATGCATCTTTGAGCTTGTTGATGGGATGGTCTGGATCTTCCTGAGAGGGACCCAAACACAGAGCCCTGTGGTACTGATCTGCTGCAGCTTGTCTACACTCGCTGCTACAGTACATCACCTGCAGGGTTAAAAATATCAAACAAACACAACATTAATGCAATCATTTTAAATGACGGGTACAGAAATAAACTCCACAAACTTAAAAACTCTGTGGTAATTCGCCCACACACATTTCCATAATCACTAACTTGAAAACACAGGTCTTCCTTAACTAGCAACAACTATTGTGTGAGGTCCCTGGAATCAGGAAATTAAGAGTTTTATACAAACTGAATAATTACAAATAAACAAACCCCTACAAGATTATGTACAAAGAAGGCATTTTTTTAAACTTTTTTAAATGACTAATTACAATGCATTGTTCAACCTAGAAGGCTTTTTACCTGCAATTAATTCAAGTAAAAAATAACTTTTGTTGTCGTAAATTGAGGAAAGATTTAAAATATAATTTCTTATCACAAAATAAAGACATTTGCTGGGACACCTCTATCCATTTTTAAATGTTTTGAAAGAATTCCCCTCACAGCACATAGCCATAACCATGTTGTATATTTAAATGTCTTCTATAAACAAATCCGAAATTCTTTATTTCTCCCGCAACGGGGAATTGTACATTATTGCAACAGCAGGTAGTGCAGATAAAGTGAGGAAAATAGACTTACATTTAAGAATATAATAAATTATTATTATGAAGTAGCATTCTCCTAAATTAATTTATTCTGTGCTTTGACTGCATTTCCTTTCTTTTTAGTATCGATTGAATTGCTCTTGTTTTCTAAATCTTAATCACTTGAATGTTTTAATCACTTAAAATATAGCGCTATGCAACACGTTTTAACTAGTTTTTGAAAATGAGGTGTAGAAATAAGGTAATGAGTATTAGCTTCAGGAACCCTAATCTGAAAGCCATTAAATAAAATGCTCTGTGGCAGTTTAAACTTAAAGTGGACCTATCATGCTACTTTTAGGCAATAGCATAGGTCTCAGATATATAAAAATCATGTCTATGAAGTGTTTTGCTCAAAATACCAAACAGATCACCCATTCCAGCCATGCCTCATATCCCTCTATTTCACTTCATGTTTCAAAAGTGCTGATTTGCGGTATAAAGCTTTAAAAAAAAAAAATTTGATAAAAAAAAAGAAGGGGGCTGAGCTCATGCGGAAGATGCTACCAGCAGATACTGCGGTGATGAAACGCCATATCATGGATTATCAAGGATCATTTCTGAAACAGTATGGAGCTCAAAGGCTTTCTCTCTTGCCGGTTATACCACAAGGTGAGTTCCTTTTTATTTCCTGCTTCTTCACACACATGCTCTGTGCAGTACAGGTTAGCTCTGAGTGTTAGCGATGCTAATGTAAACATGCACCGACCATATTACGTCTAAAACAGTCGGGCATTGTTTCTGATAGCAATGTTTCTGATAGGGCCGTGGGTGTAAAGCCAGCCTACATTTCAGATATTACGTCATATCGGACGCAAATCTGGATCAGCTCTGTTGTAGCCCCGTTTTTGAGATTTGGGTACGGAGGAAAAGAGAGAGGGTTTTATTTTCTGAAGCTGCTTGAGTTCCCTGACACACCGGGGACACATATTTATGTATAAAAGACATCAAAAAGTGCATTTTGCATGATAGGTCCCCTTTAACTTATTTACATGTGGCCTACACAGATATGCAATACTGTGAATACAAGAAACCACCAAGCATAAACAGTGTTCCCCTTTGGTTAAAACAAAAAGAAGCAGACAGAGTAGCTTACTGATCCGTAGTACCAAAGATTGAGGCTTATCATCAACGTCCATGAAATCAATACAACCCGTCTCCTGTTTGGCCTCACCTGGCACTGCGGGCAGGCTTGGTGCCTCTCCGGTCGCACCCTGCAGAGCTCAGGGTGAGGGAGGCTGAGTCCTGGGATGCCGCTGAGTCGCCTCGCATTCTCCTCTGCACTCTCCAGAGCACGTAAGCAGTACTCACAGGCTAAAAAAGAATAGTGGATTAGCCTAGAGAGACAAACATTACTGGAGACCCGGTTAGTTTAGGGTCTTTAAATATTCATTCTAGATCAATGACCTCCAGTTAACCAGTATTAGTCAAGTCTGATAAAACATTCATGGTTTTGTCATCCCTGTATGGACTATCTATATACTACATTATTAATGCAATGTTTCAGTGCTTCTTTATTGGTGCAAGATGCAGTTAAAAAGTCCATGACCTATTTTTGTAGGCCAACCACGAAGCTAGCATTGCACGGGTTCCCTTGACAAAAAGCCCAATGAGATTTCTCCAATGGATTTTCGATATTCCAGACAAAACAAATAGCAAGTGGCGAACAAATGGTTATGATACGTTCATTGTGAAGATAAACTCTACAATGAACACCACTTTTATGTTTTGTTATCTTTTCTTGTCCATACTAGTTTTTTGTTAAGCACCAAAACAAATGTCTTGTATTTATGTAAATTAATATGTACAGCAATGTGTTGTCATTTCACTAAACTGTTTGTGTGTTTTTAAATACAGTCCAGATCTCACCTCTATATTTGTACTGAGAATTCCACAGGAACTGGGCAGAGACGAGTGGCCGCTCCAGAAAGATGGCATCTCCCTTCTTCATACTCTTTTTGGCGAAGATACCCTTGCCCTGAAAGAGACACAACAAAATATGACTGTTGTACAATTTTCAGCAGTGTTTGAAAACCGTAAGTGGTACAAATATTTCTATTTAAAATGCTACTTTATTATTTACTTCCCTACATGTACAACACTTATAGTTAGTAGTTACTTTCTAATATATTAAAATATCACTTATCTTATCTCTTAAATTGGCTCCACATTGACAAACTACGATAGTGAAATGTTCTTACATGTATTTGTTATTGATAAAAAAAAGGACAATATAAACATTTTAAAATAAAAAAGTAAAAAGATCCAGTCCTTTTACTTTATAAATGTATAAATTGTCAATTTAGCTGATAAGATATCTGTACCTTAAATCATTCTGAAATGGGCCATTGTGCAGAATGAGTAATTTTTGTACTTTTACTTGTAATGTAGTATTTCAGGACCACAGCATTTGGAACTGAGTACTCTCCTCCAACAATGCAACAATGAGTTCCCTGCTTTGCATCGCACCCCATTAAGTATAATAGTGTAAAACGGTTGATGTTGTCCCTTTGATTTCACATTTACTGGTTAAAATCGACACCCCTAACGTACAAATCAGCACATAACTGATAGTTTTAGGCACATACAGATCTCTAATGATCAGAAAACGTTTTATAAACCACATGTTTTCCTTCAGTTCTCCCTGAGCCCTGCAGGTCTGCTCTGCCGGGCTGTGATGCTCCCTCTCAGCCGACACGCGTCCACCACACCTCAGCCACAGAGCCGATTCAAACTCCGGATCTCTCTAAATCATTTTAATCTGACAAACTCTGCACCGCCTTACCTTGATATTGTCTATAAATCTCACATCCACGCAGGCAGAGACTGTGCCGGGGTCCACGCAGAAGGAAAACATGTCATCCAGGGGAGCAGCCATGTTGCTGACAACCTTTCCCCTTTCAACTCTGACACTGACGATCTATCTCCGCGCGACGCAGCAGCGACCTCTGGTGGTCAGCATGCGAACTGCAGGTGTGTCACTGCTCAACACTGGGAACTCATTGCTTTATTGTAGGTGACTAAAGTTAGCATAAGTACACATATTTTGGCATAATTAAATACTAACACATTTAATGTATAGTGCAATATTAGAAGTTGCGTAAAGACACTGTACATGTGCAGGTTCTTAAAATACATTAAAATCATAAAATAACACTTAAAACTTAAAAAACACACCATTTGCTTACACATTAAATAACGCATGGAGATATTGGTGCAGTCTTGGATTTGAGAGAGTGGAAAGAGAACTGTATATTTACAATGACTCATGACATGCTCCATTTAATTTTAATGTATACTATCACTAAGATTTTGAATTTGTTTTTCAGGATAGGAGAGGATATATTAGAATAGAACTATATTCAATATATCCAATACATATTTACAGATGTGATGCCTTAGTAGACATGTATCTATCTAAAAAGGATATGGCACATGTTACTTAAATAAAGTCTGGAAATAAAGTCTTCACAGAATAAAGTAAATGGAGAAAAGAGTATTTATTGTATATTATTTTGATAATATAGATAGACGTTTTACAGTGTTTTGTCTAGCAAACATATAATAAACATGTAGTATAAGTATTTTACAAATAATAAAAAATACTAGTTCATGATCAGTAGTACAATATATTGGCTCGTACGTTTTATGTTTCAAATATTGTACAAAAGAAGTCGTTAGGAATACAGCAGTGGGTTAAGAAAAAATCAACATTTAAAATGTCCGTCCTAGAAAGTTAGGAAAGAAAGTTAACGTACAGTTTTTGGCTGTTATACAAAACAAAATCTAGACAGCAGAATCGTGTTTGTTATTTCACATTATTGGATTAAACAGTGTAACTAATAAACATCTACAGTACAGTATCTGCATTTTTCCACAGACACAGAGTGGCTTCTTATTGTCCCATAGTGACTGTTATTGCAGAGTTTCTCTACCATCAGATGATAAATAGACTTGTTCCCGAGAGATAACTAAGACTTTTATTTTGACATCTATTTCAGTGTTTCCCACATGTCAACTAAATACTTTGTCTCTGCCACGATAATACAGCAGAGTGATAAATAGCCTGAGTGATAAATCAACTGTGCCGATATTAGTTTATTGCAGATATATCAGGGTCAGTGTATTTTGCCAAGAAAGATAAAGATAATTCCATTACCCATGACAAATGAAAATGTGCAGCAGAGGGCACCGATGAGGTTTTTTTACAACTGTAAATGGCTCAGTTTAAATCTTCTTCAATCATCTTTCTTCACTGGAAATGTTTGTGAGACGACAGTAATGTTTTTATGTAAAGAAATAAATGTCAGCTTGTATGTCTTGTGTGCCTCAGAAATCCTGTGTCTGTCACTAAGGATTGCTCTAAATAAAGGGTAAAGGTATAAAGGCTTTGCTGAACATGGGAAACATTTAGCAGCTATGTAGAGAGTCATTTTTTGCAGCTTTAAACTGCATTTATAACACCTTTGTTTTCATTGGATGAGTGGGCAACAGAGTATAGCCTGTGTGTGGAAAACACTGTATTCTATATATTAAAATAATTTCATTAATGCTAAAAAAAACAGATTTACCGTAAATATATCATTATTCCTATATACAGAGCTTCTTCTATTCTCTTAAAAACAGCAAGGACAAAGGGAATATGTCCCAATTTTTACACATTGACTAGGATCTTGGTAAAGGTTAAAAAGATTAGAAAATAAAACCTGGGTTAGTACACCATGATATACACGCTCAGCTATGATACTGCAGCAGAGGCATCCCCTCAGCTGTCGTCAGAAGGAACCCAGCCGAGGCTCTACCTGACAGCTCTTCACCGTGCAGCCTCCTCCTCTGATCTCTTCTCCTGCTCCACGCCAGCCATCATAGACCCTTGTTGTAGGTCACCATCTTGCAATCTGTTGCCATAGCGATCTCCGGCTCCAGGCAAGACACTTCAATCTGCAAGATAATAAAAAATCAGACTGAAGGTAAAAATTGAAGCTCTATATTTCTGTGTCTTAAAGCTTTAAAAATTCATTTTGACTCTTAATCAGACGTGGGAAGTGAAATCTGGAATGAGAGGTGAAACTAGTGCATGTCAAGTGGTGTATGTGTAATTAGAATTTCGCCAGCTGCTCTCTTTTCTCCTCTCTTTCTCTCTGTGAGCCATATGGCCTTGACAGTAGAAGCAGTTGAAGCGGCGTTGTACTGTACCTGAGACATCTGGGGGAACAGGCTGATGGCCAGAGGCAGCGAGAGGCTGAAGGTGAGCAGGCACACGAGGCTGTGGACGGGCAGCAACAATCTGCGGTTTCTCTGCAGGAATCGCAGCCTACCAGAGTCAAGAGACAGTGATAAAAGGAAATGTGAGCCTGCTGTGTGGATCGATCCCAGATGACTACTGCCAAGCCAGGAGTTATTTTTGGATCCGGAGAAAAAGACAGCATGTGCAGATTTAGGGGTGCTATTTTCCACAATTAGTGGGTGGGAGATTAATCTGTCTGTGAGAACGTTCCAGTCCTGGGTTTATCGAGTCAGACTGTAGAAAAGCTCTTTTGTATGTATAACAAAAGAATGAAGAAGTGTATTTTTATTCAGTCTTTTTGTGCTTCAAAACAATAGGCTGTATTATTATATTTTCTCAGGCTGTGACCTACTATTGAATGAGTATATGGAAAGCACTTTAGGGCACAACATATGGCGGGCCTGCCTCAGTACTGATATTAAGAGATAGGTTTTTAGATGAGCAATAACTGAAGGCAGGCTGAGAAAGAAGATGCAAGCTAGCTGTGAAAGAGATGAATGATCTTGTAAATGTAAGGACTTATACGCAGATTATTTTTTCACTATGCCTCTGGCAAATCTTACAGATGTAGGAAAAAAATATCTGTATTGTGTCAGATGCTGTGGTAGTTGATACAGCTCCTACTCTTCTTAACTAAGCAATTCATCTTTTAGCAGGACTAGTTCTGCTGCTGCTGAATAACTAAATAACAGAATAGTTTATTTCAGCTACAGAAAACAGGTAGGAAAGACATTTTAAGACTTTACTAAGTCACATGCTATCTTTGACTTAATAGTGTTGTTTGAAGCTGGTTTGCAGTCTGGCAAAGATATTGGATGATGTTGGAATTGGCACGAGATAGATTTGTGGGTAATAGGATAAGTAAAAAAGCAGAACAAAAATCAATTAATCACTAGATTAACCAATACCCAATTGACTTGTTAATTGCAACCCTAGTAACAAATCCAACCACATATGTCTGTACATACCTCTCTAGGTAGGACATGATGATGGGAGGCAGGATGAAGATCGGCATCGGGAGGACCACACGTGTGAAGGCGGTCTCCGTGATCGCCTGGGGTAAATATGAGAACATTGTGCACACGCTTCATTTCAAATTCTGCAAATGAGTTAGATTTAATTTCATGAAATCAGATGTGTGCTGAAGATAGACTTTATAAAATAGGTTGCTGAGTGACAGGACCCGCGCATTAAATGATGAGTTTTCCCATTATCAGCCACCAGCACATTTGCAATTCATGGGAATAAACCAGCAGAACTATTCAGTGCAGAAGAGTAGTGTGCAAAAAAGAAACTCACATGTCTTGCAGCAATCTTTGAGGATCCCACCACTTTGCCATTGTTGTCCAACACATCAATGCCTTCAGATAGCTCGTTGTGCCTCATCAGGCCCACATTACAGATGTTTGCACTGGCTGAGGATAGGTGAGAAAGGCCACTTTTATGATAATAAATATACACAAAAACATATGCTGTAGACAGGAAATGTAGTCATGGATCCAAAGAAGAAACTCCTTTATAAATATCTCAATTTTGAGCCGGACTAGTCTTGGGGAAATTGAGAAATCCATTGCAGTAAGAATTATAATAAGCTGGCATTTTTGGATTTATGTAACTTATTTACTAATTTCTAACAAATTAGGTCTTAGATGGAATTTAAATATAGTGTAAAACCAGTAAGAAGCTGTAACTCCCACCACTTGAGGGTCAACTAATTACCCCCCAATATAAATGGTACAGAAAGTCCTTTGGAAACCCACCTACAGCTGGGAAGGGGACGAGCCTCTGAATGATCATCCTGGTGGCAGGACTCAGCCTGTTGGCCTTCTTAATCAGAACATTCAGTCCCACCTACAATAGTTCATATAAAAACAAAAATCAGGTTCACCTTACAGTACAAACCTATACAATCTATGAAACACACTTTAAAATCTCATTTACAGCAAACTGGTCTTTTGTTTTCGCATTAGTATATTTACTTTACTCTAGCCAAACATTAGCAGTAGTACTTAAACTGTACAGCTAACTCTATTCAAAAAGCTTACTGTATATTACGAGCACTGTTAATGATACTCTGTATAAAATATAGCCAGCAATGTAATAACAACGATGGTGCACATTCAAAAGCAGCTCATAACTTGAATGTGCAGGTCAAATTCACCAAAAAGACCCTTTTCAAATAGAAAAGAGGGAGAAACACATACTGCAATAGAGACAGCGCTGGTCACAGCTCCTACATAGCCTTGAAGAAACTTCGATGTTGGCGTAGGCTGAAGAAGGAGAGAGCAAATGTTGTGTCACAGCTTTACACAGGGTTTACTCTCTATAGCAGGGGTGTCAAACTCAATTTCATCGGGGGCCACATTAGAATTATGGTTGCACTCAAAGGGCCGGTGGTAACTTTAAGACTATATAAATATAGATAAATATATATAATATAATGTATTATTTAACAATATTTCCTCTGCATTGGATTATTATCTGATAGGGTAATAACTTAACTACGTCTGAAAGCAGAAGTCTAGGGCAAATAATTTAAAGTAATTGCAAATCTCTTCAGTGCGATGCATTGTGGGACATGTAGTTTATAGGCAACGTGCTCCTGTAAAGCGGCACGTA